CGTACCTTGTCATGCATCCACAGATGCATCTCGAGCAGGTCCAAGGAGGTGATCCTCCACCTCTATGCAACACTGGTCAGGCCGCAGTTGGAGTACTGCGTCCAGTTCTGGGCGCCGCACTTCAGGAGAGATGTGGACAGCATTGAGAGGGTTCAGAGGAGGGCCATCCTCATGATCAGGGGGCAGCAGGGCAGGCCCTACAAGGAGAGGCTAAGGGACCTGAACCTGTTCAGCCTCCACAAGAGAAGGCTGAGGGGGATCTAGTGGCCTGTTACAAACTAGTCAGAGGGGACCAGCAGGCGTTTGGGGAGTCCCTGTTCCCCCGAGCACTACCAGGAGTGACTAGAAATAATGGTCACAAGCTGGCAGAGGGTAGATTCAGACTAGACATCAGGAGGCGCTACTTCACAGTCAGGGCGGCTAGGATCCTGAACCAACTTCCAAGAGAAGTGGTGCTGGCTCCTACCCTGGGGGTCTTTAAGAGGCGGCTAGACAAACACCCTGCTGGGGTCATTTGACCCCAGTACTTTTTCCTGCCATGGCAGGGGGTCGGACTTGATCTGCTCAGGTCCCTTCCAACCCTACCAGCTATGAAACTATGAATCCTATAATGTTGGTATGAAGTGAAGCCCACTATAATAGCAAGGCCCAGAGAATTAAGTTCAGAGGTGATGACTTACTGACATGTTGCAGGGGTTTAGGTTGTAGCCGTGTTGGTCTAAGGATATAGGCAGACAAGGTTCCTTGGGTGAAAAAAGTAACTGACTCCCCCGCCCAGCCCAGCCCCTGGCTTGTTTACTTTTCATTTCATCCAGGAAGAGCACACACCAACTGCTGCAGCTTCCTGAGCCTGACGAAGGGTTTTTGAACCTGAAAGCTTGCTTAATAACTATTCTCCAACCATTTGGGTTGGTCTAATAAAAGATATCAAATTCACCCAAGGAACCTTGTCTGACTTACTGACATGTAACTTAACATAATCAGTAGCTATTTAGAGTGTTCAATGAATAAGGCCTAATACTTCACATGAATGGACCAGGTCATGGAATCTGACATCTTGCTACAAACCAAGACCTGGAATTCCCCATTTGGCATCTGTCATTTTGCTGAAGCCACAGCCCCAAAATTTCTTTCCATGCTGCCAGGATTTCCTCTTCTGCTGTCCATGCTGCTTCTACCACAAAGGGCAGTGCATTACGTAAGTAGCTGCTGTTACCCAAAATGAGGCAGAACCCGAGCGGGGCTCTTGCTCATCAGACATGCACTTGGAGGGGAAATGTGGCAGCCAGGGGCTGAGCTGATGAGCAGTGGGCCACAAGCAGAGTTCTTTGCCTCCTAGGTTGCAGAAGGTAGAGGGCTACATTAAAATAATCTGGGCTCTGAAGGACAGCAGGACACGACACCAGTAACTTAATTAGGGGTGAGCAACTAGGGCACCAGCCCCAGGCGCTGACCTGGAAAGGGGGCAGGGGTGGCTGCCCTTCTTGCCCAGTGCCTGCCCCAGCTACTACCCAGAGTGAAGAACCTGCTTCCAACATCTCTGTCCAGCACTCCAGAAGCAAGGTGGTTTGGTGGATGTAGGCTGCATGCTAAGAAACTGGAAAAGGGTGGCAGCAGTAGAAATTAAAACATCTCTTCCCAAACAACTTTAAAAACAGCACTTGCTATACACTCTCCCAGCCTCATGATTGATGAGTAGGGCTCAGTTCTGGCATCAGCTGCATTTGTGTAATTAGGACCTTTTTATGCACAGCCTTTATGCTCTCCCAGACACAGTCAGACCCACTTATATGCACTTACTGACATCTAACTTAATACCACTTTACACATTACCTCCAAGCTGGCCCAGTGACTTCTCTATTCCAGTATTTAATTGAGGCTGGCCTTCAATTTCACAGTGCAACTAGCCACTTGTTTCTTGTCATGGCTTACATCCCCCTCTCATCTTCCCAGACTACAATGGCCTTAGCAAAACAACATAAAAAGGGCTTGATTTCAAGCACTTCAGTCAATGAGCCTATTCTATAGAAGTGCACCAAAATAACAACCCTGGGCTATTTCACATTAACAGCTACACAAAAGCGTACTGTTGATGAATGATGGAAACATAATTAGCAAGAGTTCACCTTGTTGCTAAGCTGCTATTATTTAGAAGAGCCCTCTATGCTTGGAGTTAGGTTTTTGACACACATTGAAGTTCAAAGTCTGTAGTAACTGCAGAATGAGTATCCTAGAGGAGCAAGTGGGCACAGTACCAAATCAGGGGGATTTCGTTAGTTGGCAACACAGTCAAGTTCTACTGCTGCTAAGAAATTTAGCAGCCAGCAAACAACATTTATAACATTAAGACCTGTAGTACAAAGGGATGGAGGAAGAGTTATAGAGAAAGAGCACTACAATTTTGCTCATATGTTACAAGGTTGCTGAAGATATGCCTGCATATGCTCAGACCCTGTAAGGATGGGTTAATAGTACACCAAGACCTTCAATTAGTCACACATTCTGACTAGGGACAGAAATTATAGAAATTGGTGTAAGTGATTGGAAACTGGTTTAAATCCATAATGCAAAAGAAGCACAGTGCCAAAACTGGTTTTAGGATAAGCCTGGATGGATATAGTGTCAGACTTAATTGATTTAGGTTCAATCGGTTTACTGAACTTCTGTCCCAAATCCTCTCCTGATTCAAGTTAACTCACAGTCCCCCAACATCCCAGGATACTTTGTACCTCCCCCACATGCCATCCCCACAGAGTGGGCAGGCTAGCATTAGTCCAAGCTGTCTGCTCCAGCTGAGCAGGAAGGCATACTCTAGCACCCCCTGACCTCTGGCCTGTACCACTACAGGCATACATATGGCTGCATTTCTACCCTCAAAAGTGAATATCTATTCACTTACTTATCAATTCAATCTACAAAGTTTAGACTAACCTGCAAAGATTGAATTGTTTCAGCCTCAGACTTTTTGACTGGCTGTACTTAGCCTTTAAGGCTCCTGCACTGCACTACACTACAACCTGGATCTGCTCTGTATTATTTCTTATCATTCAGCCAGTTTACCAAGGTATATTTACAGTTTGGAGGATGGGGTAACAGATTTCCACATACAGGACCTGAAACCATTAAGCTCTCTGGAGTTTTTCCACTGATCTGAACAGGTTTTGGATCAAGTCCAGATGAAAGCATGTATTCCCAGGAAGCTTTTTACAGTAAGCTTAGGGGTTGTTGGTACCTGAGAAAGCATTAAATTAACTTTAAAAAAAAATCCCCAAATAGCTATTTTTCTCTGATTAAGTCACCATATGGATATCTGGAATAAGAATATATTTTTCTAATTTAGCTTAATCCACAAAGTATCCACATATGGGCTTATTAAACAAACAAACAAAACCAAAACAGAACCTCCCTCTAGAAGACATCTGTGGCATCACTGTAGGTGACAATAAAGACATTATTTCCATTTTTCTGAATTATTTGTGACGGGTTTGTTGAAGGCAGAGATTCTGTTAGGATTTGGTGGCAGTTTCAAGATCTATGTGATTATTGGGCCATGTTACAGTTTGAAATTCTGGATTTTACCTATACTTCTGTTAAAATATTCGGAGACATTCAGGGATGAGCACTTTGTCTATCATGTTTATTATTACAGTACTTTGATTGTAAGTTTTCTTGTGATTGTTTCCCTCCTGCTCATCTTATCACTAATGCCGCTCTAGTATGTTAGATTCAGTCACTAATATGTCAGGCCTGTATTCTATCTTTTAAAAAACAGATTGTGTTTTCAATGTGTAGCTCTTCAATATAGGCTAAACTTTTACAGTGTTTTGCTTGGAGTAAATGAAGAGCACTTGTTTGATTTCTAATTGAGTGATTATATCTTCATATGTCATGTCTGAATACAGGAAATGGGCCAATTCTTGGCTTGCTTATGTAAATCAGGAGTAGCTTCTTTACAGCAAAAAGGATTTACTCTGGGGGAAACCCCTGTAAATGAGATTAGAATCAGCCATAAAATTTGGTTTTTATCACGTAGCAAGCCAAATAAAAAAAATGAAGGCCCTTAAACTTACCTTCCTGCCCATTCCT